CTCTCCCTTTTTCTCTCTAATAATATGAATACATACTAAACAAAAATAATTGCCATGAAGAGCAATCAACCAGTGCATGGCAGTTTCTGACACTAGATCTAAGGAGCAGATTAAGTGACCTCCAGGGCAGACGAGCTCTGGCTCTTTGTGTGCCCTGCATTGTTCTGGGCAGCCAGCCCATGCAGTCCTGAGCCCAGAGATGCCCTGTGTGGTCTGAGGAAGCTAGTTTCTTCAATCCCTGAGCCCAGAGACATGTTCCACATATCCAGTAATGCCACACAAGTCATATAAAATTAAAGCTAAGAATCAAATGTCTCAGAATTTTGTAAATTAATATCTTTATACCTGTTTTATTGGTTTTAGATAAAATTAACAAAGAGCTTTGTAAGTCCTGTGTCTCTATCATAAGGTAAATTATAAATGTGTCCTGTGACCATTTAGAACACTTACCTCTTCCTGTTATTTACTGTTGCATAAAAAAGATAATTCCTTGGAGAATAGGGTAAGTGAAGCCAGGATTCCCAATTGATGTGCCATGTGCCATTACCTACAACAGCCTTGTCCTTCCCCATCACCCAGTTAACCTTGAACGTCTTCATCAATTGCAGGTCTGAATAAAATCCGAAAATTTGCAGGTAAGTGTAAAGTGATTGCTCTGTGGGGAAGACTGACTTTGTGCTTGCAATGCCATCTGCAGTTCCATCAGACCCCCTGTGAAAAAAGAGAAGCGTTTTCCCTCCCCATCTCTAGCACACATTTGAACTGTCAATATAATCTGATTCTGAGCTTACGTTCTGTCCAATAAGCACCAATTTGCTGACTGGGAAAGGTTTCGTTTTAGAAAAGGCCACAGTGCATTAGCTGTGCAAACAGAGGTAGCATGGTGTCACCTGATCTGAAATAACTTTTTAGGTAAGTGAGAAATCAGTCCTCTCTCTGTCCTGACCTCAGCAATTCCACAGTCACAAGACTGTCTAGATCAAGCAGACTGGTGAGACAGGCTAGTTTCCTTTTCTCTCCTCTCCTGAAGTCTCAGAGCTCTCATACCTCTCAGGTTCCCCTGATCAACCTGCACAAATACCACCATTTCTCAGTTTAGAAAAGAGAATGTAGAGAGGGCGGCCTCAATGGATCCAGTCCCTGCCACCCCCACCGTGGGTACCCTCTCATCTGTCCAATTGTCAACCCTCCACAAGGAGCTCCCTCTGAACATGTCCTCTCAACTCTCTCCCTTGCCCTCCACTTTGTCCAGAGGCCCCGTTCCTGAAGACAAGCTCTGGTGGGGCCTCCCTCCCTCCGAGTGCTGCCTTTCTAGCTGGGTCCTCTGCCTGCTCACATGCCCACCTCCCACTGCTTGGGCTCTCAGGCATACTCTGTCTCTCTGCTCTGCATGTAAGGGCCTCCACAGCCACCTCTATCCCTTTGAATCCACCCAGGTGGGCAGGGTAGACCTTGCTTAAATATTGAAGAAATATCCTGAGATCTGTACTGTCGTTACCTATGTCAAGGCCCTAACCATGGTCCCAACCTATCACCAGTTCCTTTGGAACCTGTGATGAAACACCTCACGTCTGTTGTAGAGATGAAATAGTTCAGGGATAGTTCACACTGAGTCAGAACCGTTTTGTGTTTGGATGTGGAATGGCCTCATGGGAAATAGGATGTGGAATGGCCTCATGGGTAATAGCATACGGATCCTATGCTTACTTATGAAAAGAACCTCAATTGTGACCTGTTTTTGCCTTGTCTTACAATCTGGATGGTTCTAGTGGAAGTCCTACCATTAATTCTCCTTCCTTCTGCAGAAGACATAATACTGGATAAAGACACTGCTCACCCTTACCTTGCCGTGTCACCTGATGGAAAGTGTGTGAAATCCGTGACCAAAAAGCAGGACGTGTCTGACAAACCTGAGCGATTTGATACAATGCCAGCCGTGCTGAGTCAGAACCGTTTATCCAGTGGCAGCCACTACTGGGAGGTGGAAGTAGCAGGGATCAGCAAGTGGGCCGTCAGGATCTGTGTGGAGTCAGTGAACCGCAAAGGACAGTACATCTCTGCTAAGACCCAGAGCAGGTTCTGGACCCTGTGCCTGAATGGCATGTACAAGTCCCTCTCCGTCTCCCACCACGTTCTCCAGGTCACAGGGCCCCTCCTGAGGGTGGGCATTTTTCTGCAGTATAAAGAAGGGTTGATCTTGTTCTACAATGTGACTGAATGCACCATTCTCCACACTTTCAAAAGCGAGTTCACTGAGACCCTGAGGCCGTACTTCTACCCGGAGCCTGTTGGTGAGAAAAGTACAAATGGCCTTACCATTGTCAAGGTGCTGGCCGCAGACCCCGCTGTTCCTCTCTAGAGCATAGTGGTTATGTACTCATGGGTCATAATGACAGTCTGAGTTGCCATTCCCAGAGCAGAAAGCTGCAAGCCACAAGAAGCCAGGCTCCCTGCAGACATTGGGGAAGACTCAGGATGCCTTCAGGTGCTCCAGCTGCTCTCCCTCCCCCCCCCTCAATGAATGTGCTTCCTTCCATCACCTTCCCTGCAGAAAGACAAAGCTCTGCCATCCTTCTTAGACTCTGAAAGTGCTTCAGGACTGTCCTTGGTAGGTCACTGTCACATTGCCTAATGTGCTTTACCAGCTGACAGACTGTTTCTGTATGAGCAGGAAGTGGTGAGGTTTCCCAGGCAAGAGACCAACTGTCTTCACTGTAACAATCATCACTTTTCTTGAGCATATACAGCACTGAACGCCACAGAATGGAGTAGAATTGAATCGCCCAGAAGAACACATGATCTCCAGGCATTTCTGTGCAGCTCTGTGTGTGATCCCATGGCCTTTAGGTCGCGTGATCATGCACTCAGATGCAGGCCATGATGTCTGCCTCCAGCCAAAACCCTTGAGCATCTGCTGTGTTTGTTGCCTGTGAGAAAAGACACAAAGCCTTGCTCACAGAAGAGCTAGAAATAACAGAAAATGAGTTTAGAGCAACTCAAATTTGCATACTTTGCTGACTAAAGAATCCATTTGAAGAAAGATTTGGTTATTTCTCATAATGTTAAATGTGTTAAATTATTACTACTATAATCAGTAATTTCACTGCTGAGTGTTATTCTAGAGCAATAGACACTATGAACTGAAGATCTTCAAGAATGTTCTTAGCAGCTATATTACAAACAACTGAAAACTAGAAATTAATGTCCTACATGAGAATCTGTAAGTAAACTTAAATTCATTCATAGCCTAAAATAGTGTTTGGTACTGAAAAAAAATGAGACACTGAAATATGCAATATGTAGATGATTCCCAGATATATTTTACTAATCAAAAAAAGGCAGACAGAAAAAATAGTGCACATCTCCATCTGTATAAAGTTCTTCAGCAGGTAAAATAAATATCTTGTAAAAAAATAAGAAGATGGTTTTGGAGGTGACTGAGTGTGAAGGGGTAGAACTTGGGTTTCTTCATTTCACTGTGTTTTCACTGTTTCCAGTGTGGTCAGAAGTGATCCTTGCTCCTGTTATTGGCACCCTTGCATAGATCTTCCTCATTGAGTAACCGCCATGCTCCCAGAATCCAGTGCAGTCAATGTTAAGTAGCATCCCAAGTCACATCCTGCAGTGGACAGCAGGTGATCCCTTGGCCTGCTGGATAACTCACTGTGAAACACCATAGCGCCATGCCATGAAGGCACTCAAGCAGTCCCATGGAGAGGCCCTGTGGAGGGAATTTGGGGCCTCCTGCTCATATCCATGTGGATGAACCAATTTGAAGTGGACACAAAACATAACCCTAAACATAACCTAACACTAACCCTAACACTAACACTAACACTTATACTAAAACTAACCCTAACCCTAACACTAACACTAAAACTAACCCTATCTCTAATCCAAACATTAACCCTATACCCAACAGTAACCCTATCACTAACACTAATCCTAAGCCTAACCCTAAAACTAATCCTTAACCCTTACTTTAAAGCTAACACTAACCCTAACCCTAATGCTAACACTATATCTATTCTACCCATAACACTAAAACTAACCCTAACACTAACCCTATGCCTCACTCTAACCCTCTTTCTAATCATAACAGAGACCCTAATTTTGACACTAACCTAACACTAAACCTAAAGAAAACCCTTACCCTAACACAAACTATAATACTTCCCTGAACACTACGCTTAACACTAACCCTAACAGAAACTCTAACCCTAATTCTAAAACTAACCCTAAACCTAACTCGAACCATAACCCTAAATGTAACCCAAAAACTAACTTTAATCATAAACCTAACCCTAACGCTAACATTAACCCTAACCATAAGCCCAACCATAACTTTAACAAAGTTAAAGTCCCTAGCCCTAATTCTAATCCTAATCCTATCCATAACACTAGCACTGTTCCTAACCCTAATCCTAACCCTAACACTAACACTAAACCTAACCCTAAACCTAACGCTACTCCTAACCCTCACCCTAAACCTTACCCTAACACAAACCATAAACCTAAACCTAATCCTAACACTAATACTAACCCTAAACCTAATACTAACCCTAACCTACAAGTAACTCTAAAACTAATCCTAAACCTAAACCTAAGTCTCACTCTAACCCGAATCCTAACCATAACCTTAACCCTAACCATATGCCTCAATTTAACCCCCATTCTAATCATAACCAAAACATTTATTTTAACTCTACCCTAACACAAAACCAAAAGCTAACCTTTACCCTAACACAAACCATAATTCTTTCCGTAACACTAACCTTAACACTAACCCTAACCTGAACCCTAATCCTAACCCCAAAACTAACCTTAACCATAAACCTAACCCTAATCCTAACACTAAACCTACGCATAACCCTAACCCTAACCCTAACCATAACACTAACCCTAACACTATTTCTAACCCTAAACTTAAGTAACCCTAAACCTAGACCTAACCCTAACACTATCCATAAACCTAATCCTAAAACTAACACTAACACTAAACCTAAACCTAAACCTAATCCTACCCCTAACCCTCACGCTAACCCTTACTGTAACATAAACCCTAACCCTAACACTAATCCTAAACCAAACCCTAACACTAACCCTAACCTACAAGTAACCCTAAAACTAACACTAAACCAAACCCAAAGCCACAGTCTACCCCTAACCCTAACCCTAACCCTAACACTTACCCTATTCCTAACCCTAACACAAACTCTAACCCTAAACCTTACCCTAATTCAAACTATATCCCTCACACAAACACAATCCTAACACTAAATCAAATACCTAACTTGAATTCTAAAACTAACGCTAACCCTAACCCAAACCCTAACACTAACTGCAACCCTAAAATTAACCCTAAACGTAACCCTGACCTTAAGCCTAAAATAAACCCTAAAACTAATGCTAACCCAAACTGTAACACTAACACTAACCCTAAACGTAGCCCTAACACTAAACCTATCAATAATCCTAACACTCTCCCTAACCTAATCCTAACACTAACACAAACACTAATTCTAACCCTAAGCCTAACCCTAACTCTAAAACTAACCTTATCTCTAACATTAACACAAACCCTAACCCTAACCCTAACCCTTTCACTAAACCTAAACCTAACTGCCTAAAACTAACCCTAACCCTAACTCTAACCCTAATGCTAACCCTAAACCCAGCACTAACCATAAAACTATTTCTAACACTATCCCTAACCCTAACACTCTCCCTAACCCTAAAACTAACACTAACCCTAAACCTTATAATAACCCTAAACCTAACCCTAACCATAACACTAACTCTAACCCTAACTCTAACACTAAGCCTCAACCTAACTCTAACACTAACCCAAATATTAATCCGAAAACTAATCCTAATTCTAACTGTAACACTAAACCTAATCCTAACCATAAACCTACAATTAACTTTAAATCTAACCCTAACTGAAACTCTAACACGTAGCCTAAACCTAACCCTAACAGTAACCCTAACACTAACCCTGAACCTAACCCTAACACTAACCCTAACTCCAACCCTAAACCTGTAACTAACCATAATCATAACCCTAACCTTAAACCTAAAACTAATCCTAACACTAACCATGACCCTAAGTCTAATCGTAAATCTAACTCTAATCTTAACCATAACCCTAACAATCACCTTAAACCTAACCCTAACATAAACAGTAACCTAACTCTAACAGTAACCCTACCAGTAACCCTAAACCCAACCCTAAACCTAACTCTAAAACTAACCCTAAACCTAACCTGAACCCTAACCCTAAACCTAACCCTATCACAAACACTAACCCTAACCCTAACACTAACCCTAACCCTAACCCTCATACTAACCCTAACCCTAACCATAACCCTAAACTTAACTGTAAACCTAACCCTAACACAAACCCTAACCATAACACAAACCCTAACACTAAACCTAACACTAACCCTAAACCTAAACATAACCCTAAACCTAACACTAAATCTAAGCCTAACCCTAAGCCTAACACTAACCCTAGCACTAAACCTAACCCTAATTCTAACCCTAACACTTATATCAACCCTAAAGCTTATTGTAATGCTAACACTAACCCGAACACTAACCCTAACCCTAACCATAATCATAAACCTAACACTAACCATAAAATTAAACATAACCCTAACAATAACCCAAACACTAAAACTAACCCTAACCCTAACCCTAATGTTAACACCAAACCTATACTTAACTCTATTCTTAATGCTAACCATAACACTAACCCTAAACCTAACCCTAACGCTAACCATAACACTAAACCTAATCCTAAACCTAACCCTAAAAATAAACCTAACACCAATCCTACCCTAACATCAAACCTAACCCTAACTTTTAAACCACTCCTAACCTTAACCATAACCCTTACACTAACCCTAACACTATCCTTAATCCTAAAGTTAATCCTAACCCTAACCCTAACCCTTACCCTAACACAAACCCTAAGCCATTTCATAACAGTAACCCTGACCCTGACCCTAACCCTAACACTAACCATTACCCTAATCCTAAACCTCAGCCTAATCCTACCCATAAACCTAACACTAACACTAACCCTAACACAAACCCTAACCGAACGCTAATCCTAACTTTGTCCCTAATCCTAACCCTAACCCTAACACTAACACCAACCCTAACCTTAAGCATTACCCTAACCTTAACACTCATCTAATCCTAACTCTAAACCTGACGCTAAACCTAACCCTAAACCTAACAGTAACTATTACCCTAACCCAAACACTAATGCTAACCCGAACCTTAACCCTAACATTAATACTAACCCAATCCACAATCCTAACCCTAAACCTAATTCTAAAAGTAACCCTA